CCTTCTCCCCCTTTCCGCCTCAAGAAGTCATTCGTTTCATCCCGCATTGTCCTTCTCATCGGCCGCAGCAGCAGGCGTCACGTTTTTCGAGGTCTCCATCGATATCTCTGTGGCAAGAGCAGAGCCAGTATCCTCGTGCTTCCTGCGCATATGAGAACGAAATGCGCTCTCAGAAGCAAAGTTCGACTGGCCACAAACAGGGCACGTTGGAACCCTGGGAGACCTCCCCTTTCCCTCTCTCTTTCCTGCAAGTTCACTCCTATCCGCAGGCTGTGAGTTCTTTTGCCATAAGAAGTTATTGTAGGGAGGCAGATCAAAGAAATTATCCTTTGCCTGTGTGGTCACATAGTGGCTCGTTGGCCGTACGCCGTAATAGTAAAATGGCGTTCCCTGTGCTAGTTGGCTTCCTGGTAATAAGCAAACAAATCCGCCTTGATTATCAACAACTTCCTGTTGTTGCTGTTGTTGCTGTTGTTGTTGTTGTTTTTGTTGTTGTTGTTGTTGAAATGCAGTTGCAGGCACACCTATCGTATGAAGCGCCGAGGGTTGAAAGTACTGCTGTTGTTGAGGAATCTGAGGCATTTGGGTCATCATTTGACCTTCTACCGGGAGTTGTACAAACTGAGGATGATAGTAGGGGTTCTGTGGGGTTGAATAAATTTGCTGTGGAGAGGGATTATGTTGATACGCCGTATGTTGGAAGTATGGCATCTGCATGTACATCATTTGTCCACCCGATTGAGCAATAATCATTGGCTGAGTCTGAACCTGACCGCGAGCTGGAGCAGAGGGCATGCCAATCGCCTGATATGATGGCGTGTTGATGTAATACGTGCCCCCGGTGGGTCCCATTGGCATCGTCGGTATTTGTTGCTGTTGTACTGAAATGCCGGTAGAAGTCATGGAGGAGCCCTCCCGTACTCCTTCTACATTTCCAGAGACGTTACCTTCAGCATGTGGCAAAGGCCCATCGTTGAGTACTGTTGGTGACATGGACGGGGTGCCAGAAGGAGCTGTCTCGTTCTCTCCTCGAATGCTTTCCCAATCAATACTTTTAAGGATTTGGGCAAGATCATTCTGCATCTTCTTTGTAGCTATTGCTGCGTCAAGTTAAAGGAAGAACAAACAGACAAACAGACAAGAAAAAAAAAAAAACAGAAGGACAATCAAAAGAAGTACAATGAATCAACAGTGACAACAACAACAACAAACATGCACAATCCAACGAGAGCAAAAAAAAAAAAAAAAAAAAAGAAAAAAAAAGTCAAAGAAACAAATAATAAAAAAAAACAAAAGAAAAAAAAAGGAAACAGGGACCCACACACACAGACAAAAAAAAAAAAAAAAACTGTTTTCAATCAATGCGCAGCATATACACGCGTAAAGTCAAAGACTACAAAAAGGGGAAAAAAAAAGAAAAAAAAAGAAAAAGAAGCTACAAGGAAGAAGGAAAAAAGAAAAAAACCAACAACAATAGCAGCCGATATAACGCATATAATTAAAAGCAGCAAAAAAAAAGAAAAAAAAAAGAAAAAAAAGAAAGAAAACACTAGAAGAACAAAATCCAAAACTCGCAGCCACAAACTTTTTCAGCACTGCGTCAACAGAGTGGTGGCTGACATCAACTGAAAGATGGCGTTCTCCAATCGGTCCAGTTGTGTTGCCGTGGGATGCAGTCCTCTTCCCTCCTCCAAATGCCTACGTCGTTGACGTGACAACTCCACAGCCTCAGTAATAGCCGCCTCACGTTCCGCTAGGGTCGCAGACAAAGCTTTCCACCCAAGATGCGTGTTGCGTCTTGCCGCATACCCCATGCGCATAGCACGCACAATCAAAAGTAGTTCATCCAATTCTCTGTATTTCCTTGCAAGACGTCCTTCCGCCTCCCATTGAGTTGAAAAACGATGCGTAACATCCATGGACGCGCTTTCCTCAGAAATAAGTTCTGTTTCTCGGGAAAAGCAGGGAGTCTTAAATTCTTCCATGGGTTTTAAGCGCTTCCTCTCCTCGTGCAGCCCCTCTGCAATTTCTGCGAGTTTTTCGGAAAGGACGGCCAACCTTTTCTCACGATTCTCCATTAATCTCGCAGTCGCCATGAGCGCCGCTTCTCGTTCGCCCAAGTTTCGCTCATAAGCTTTCGTCGTTTCAGCCTTGCTTCCCCGTCGGCTTCGCGGTCTGCTATCGCCCGTGTCCGGTTCAACGGTCTTGCTGCTCACCAGGTGGTCCATGGACACATCTTGCAAGTCCCTCACATCCTTCTCATTCCGAAACCCACCTCCGGCATCCGCCCAGTCGGCATTCATATTTCCCTCCCCTCTACACACCAACTGAGATTGCTTATTTAACGCCCCCTCACTCGTCATTAGCGCGGCAGAATTTTTATTCACATTTTCACTGGCTGTTCTCAGCTCCAGCAACTGGCGATGAAACTCCTCTTCCCGCCTGCGAAAGTACGCAAGTTCTGCCTCAAGACTCCTTATCTTTTCCTCACGGCTCCGGTAATCAACTGGCGGGGGAAACGGTGTCGTCACGCCTGCCTTTGCGGCGTATAATTCCCGCAATTTGCGGAGGTTGTGCAGGGGCTCCTCGATACTCGGAAACAGTTGATGCAGCAGATCGAAGGTGGGTATAACGAAAAAGTCAAGAAAAGGAATCTGCGACTTTTCCACAGAAGACGGTGTTTCAAAACCGGGAGTCACCGGAAGGCCGCGACGGCGTTCATCTTCAGCCTGATCAGCAAACTCCTGCAGAATCACCAACCACTTTCTCGCAATAGCCACGCCACGAGAACTTGCACCAATGTCAGCGGCATGTAGAAGAAGTGAAAGGGCCTCCAAACGATCCTCTTTACATGTGCAATCAAAACCACCAGCACTCAACTTTGCCCCATGCTTCGCAACAGTCTCAGAATGCAAAGACATATCGGTGTGCCCAATGAGATGCGACACGATATTCTTGAATTCCAGAAACGATGCGTTGTCCATTGAACTGGTAAAGTCAAATTCGGTCACATTCAATAATTCAAACGCTGTCGCCGTGTGAAGCTGTTCCAAAGTCCCTTTACCACTGAACTTGAAACTCACAGGATCTTGCACAGCAGCCAAAAAGGCATTTGTGCGTCCCGGATGACAAACGTCATGTGTCAGTGCAGCAAATGCGGCAGCCTTACATTCCAGTGGTGTCAAATGCTCCATCAATGGCTTTGCAGCCGACACAAGAGAAAACGTGCCTTGAAGAACATCCGCCGCATGTATCGCATTATGATAAGGATTTGGTCTGTAGTTGTTTTCCACCGCGGCAACCAAAAAAGCCCATTTTTGTGCCTCTTCCTGAGAAGCAAAAAAATCCCACGCCAATGCAACGTGCATCGCGACGCTTTGCAGCACCGATGGGACACGAGAGGCCACCTCGAAGGTATCAAACCCCCAGTCTCGCAGATCGACGTCCGTGCCAATTGCGGCACAGGACTTCGGTGGAACAACTGCGAGTATTGTATCCTGTACAATAGATGGAGGAAGGCGACGTGTTGATATCATGTCCCTATGACCACTAACCCCTGGAAGCATTTCCACTTCTTCTCGGGACTGTAGAAGTCGGACAACTTCTTCCTTATAATTACATAGGTGTTGTTTCAGATTTTTCACCACCGTTTCGCTCGATTTTGCCCGATCCAGTGCATTCTTCAGTTCCCCTTCCACTGACTCAATGCGAAGATGAGCTACGGCCAGTTCTTCACGCAATTCCTTGACGATTTCATCAGACACTTGTGGGGTACCACTTCTGCCTGCCATACTTCCTCCATCAGGCACGATGCGTGCAACGGCCCGATCCCGTTCCAAACGAAGCGCTTGGATCTCAGCCTCCTGTTCCCGGAGGCGGTTGAGCAGGACATCATTCTCCATTCGAAGCAATTCTGACTTCCTCAGCAGATCATCAACATACTCGTCGAGCACGGGCAAAGAATTGCTGTACCCGTTGGCTCTCGAAAAATGCTGCACCCTTCCATCGTTTGGCGGGCTTACCCGAGAAGTTTCTCCACTTTCCACCCGCCCGTCAGCGAGGAGTCGCGTCTGAAGCGGAAATGCAGATGCCGCATTAAATTCCCGAAAAGATGATCCCTCATCCGGCTCCACGCGTCGCCGGCTCTGAAGCATTGAGAAGCAATCAATACATACTTTTGACGGAGCACTGCCGCCCACAATGGCACACTCGGCCTGAACGCAGTCGGAGCAACAAAGCTTCCCGCAGCATGGGCAGTTCGACTTGGCGGTGAAGAGGGAGAATCTCTTCCCGCACGTCGCACAGCTGACGCTCCTCTCAACCCACTGACTCCGTGGCACGGGAAGCCCAGCGTCCTCCGACATGAACGCCAAAGGAGGAAACTCCCAAACTTCTCTCTCGTTCAAAAGAGAAGAAAAAAAGAGCAGTACAAACAAGCAATCAAACAAAAACAAAACAAAAAATTAAATATTCAAAAATAAACATTACCGTCATGGTGTCTTCAATAAGTGAAAACCCACACAGGCCACGCATGATCTTATCCTTCTCTCCCACCACCGCGCGGAAGAGAAAGATAAAGAAGGAGTAGAAATTACAAAACAGTAACAAGTGCAAAACCAATCTGACCAATAAAAGCAAAACAAACCGCACGCGACAGAAATATATGTTTATGTATATATTTATACTATGTTCATTCAGCAAAGGCCATAATTTGTGACTTTGTATTGGCAAAGTAGTAATGCGACATCCTCGAGTTCTTCGAGTGCAATCTTTTTCCCATCAGCTGAGTGGGACTCAATTACGGTGGCAATGTCTTCCATAAATCTCGATCTTGGACGCATCGTTGGAGAACATTCTAAAGAACTATCGGAAATGGCTTCAGTGACCCGCGCGGGTTGCAGGCGCTGTTGCAGCTCAATCACCACCGGAACCTCGTCCGTAGGAGAGACATTTAACTCACCAAAAAGTTGAAGACGCTTATAAAGCATGTTTTGACGCAGTTCCACCATATTAATTTTGCTCTTTGCGTCTTTAATGCGTTTCATGGCCTTTACTCGCTCCTCATGGCTAAGTTCCTTTCCGGTCACCTTACCCAAGTTCATTCTATCCGTGACTACTTTATGAACTCCCTTGACTACGCCTACGGATTCCCTTTGTGTGACGGCTGAAGATCGAGACTTATTTTTACAGGGAAGCGGTTTTAGTTGGAGTGGCACTGGCCACTGGCCTTCCTGATCCTCTTCTTCTTTCCGCAGCAACCGGCTATCCGATGGGGATGAAGTTGTCTCTTTCTTCCTAAAAGCAAGCTCGGGCCCATAGTAATGCTGAATGAGCCGACCCCTTGAGGGCTTTTGCGACGGATGCGACGGATGACTTGCAGGCACGACAAGGTGGCTGTCAATCAATTCCTGTGCCGTCGGGCGGTCGCTAGGATTTTTACTGAGCATCCCACGCACTATTTCCTCAAAACGCGTGTCCAGTCCCGTGTTAAACGGGGCCACTTCCTTTGTGAGAATCTGCCGGATAAGACCAGGAAGATGTTCGGCTTCAAAGGGGCGCCGTAGGGTACACATCTCATAGAACACCACACCGAGACTCCACACATCGCTGCGCTGGTCGTAGGGTTCCTCCTCACACACCTCTGGAGAAAAGTAAAGAGGGGTACCAATCATGCTGCGGGCCGCCACGGAGGTGCTCGTAAGGACAGTGCACACACCAAAGTCTCCAAGCTTCACATGATTTTTTCCCGTGATAAAAATATTGCTTGTCTTGATGTCCCGATGAAGAATGGAGCGGGAATGCAAGTACGCAAGGGCGCAAAGCAGCTCAGCCATCCACTCGATGATGACATCCTCTGGAAATGGCTCCCCACCATCTGCCTGTCGTCGCTCAATAAGCTCCTCAAGCGTCGACTCACAGTGCTCCATGATAATATTGACAGAATTTGCGCCGCTAAAGCTTTCGCGGAACTTGACGATATTCGGGTGATCGACATCGTTCATCACAAGGATCTCCTTTTTTGCTCGTAGCCGCTCCTCAGCCCCTACAGACTCAAGAGAAATCTGCTTCAGCACGTAGTCCTTCTTTGTAAGAGCATCGGACACTCGAAACACGATTCCCGTGGAGCCCTCACCCAAGTATTCGCCAATAATGTAGCGTTCAAGATCCGGGACGCACGTGTCAAGCAGCTGCATCCTGATCAGTTTCTGCCCTCCCTGCACACACACACACACACACACACACACACAAGTACGCGTCTGTTGAATAATGAAGCCCGGATGCCATTCAAATACAAATAAACAAAATAGAAAAATAAAAATAAAAAAGAAATAGAGCACACGCATATCCCTCTCCTAAAGAAATAATAAATGATTTTTTTGAACGCACACACACACCATATATATATATATATATAAACAAATTGTTCTGTTCTTGTTATTATTAAATTTCAATTATTTACTTCGTTTTTTTTTTTTTTTTTTGTTCATCATTGACGGAACAAAGTCATTCAGAGTTTCTGCGGCGCTTTCGAACCAAATGCATATAATACGGCCGAAACTCCTCCGGGATGTGTTGGCCAAACGCGTTCAGCAACTCCGCGTCCCGCTCCCCTGCCGCCTCCTTGAAGAGCCCCGCGAGCCCATCCACCGCGCTGGAAAGCGCCCGTTTCATCTCATCGCTAGAGAGGGTAGAATCGTTGCGAGTGGAGGCAATTTGCCGTAAATAATCCCGGAATTTGTCATAACTCGCAGGCTGCAGCTGACGCCTCAAAAACTGACAAAACTCCTTGGAAGTACTCCCCACCAGCACCGTGTCAGCAGGCGGCAAAACAGGCAGCACTTGTTTTCGAAACAGTTGCCGCGCGGCCGTTGGCGCAGTTGCTGAAATCTCTTGTCCGCCCACACCTCCGTCACTCATCGCCCCTCCACTCGCGACCTTCACACGGTAAGGCGCTGCAGGCAGTTCCCTCGCGTCTGCAACGCGACTTCGCATCTGTTCCTCCTTTTCAGCTCTGGCCTGGCGCAGTTGCTCGGATGCAAAGCGTTTCGCCATTTCTGCAGACGCGGGAACGCGTTCCTCCGTCGGGAAACCCAGCCGAGCATCCGTCTGCACACCACACGCACTGTCAACGCAACCGAAGGAAGAGGGAAAAGGAAGCGCAACGTCTCCCGATCGACGCCGAAAGGACGCAAAAAATTGTGCCACAGATGCGTAGGCCTCACGGAACTCACGATAAATGCTGCACCGATTCGCCACCCATTCAGAAAGTCCATCCAGTCGTTCCGCGAAACGTTCATCCGCAAGTAAAACCACGCCGTAATCATCCTTGTGGCGAATGACACGACCGACACACTGATTAACGGCACGCATCGCCTCATTCATGTACCAGTCATCGCCAGTAAAAAGTTTTCCACGCACCTTTGGACGATGCGATGCCACCCGCGTCAGGTATTCTCGCTTCAGTCGCACAAAAAGATCCGTGTGGTTCGCAAATGGGATGCCAGCCACCACAACACAGCGACCATGATTGTCCGCAAAATCAATACCCTCGCTAATCTTTCCACGACAAACAGCTAACAAAATAGCGCCACGAGATGGCGCGGAGTCCACCTCGCGCTGAAAACGTGACACAATCGTCTGTAAATCCGAAGCTTCCACGGGTTCCACAAAGACCGGCTTCAGATCCTCTAGCATTCCCCATACCGTCAGAGATTCACCAGGACGACCGCTACCAGCACGCCACAAATCAATCGCCGCATTCAAGGCCACATAGCTTGGGAAAAACACAAGAACACCGCCGGGTGTGTTACGTGATATGTTTACTAGTGACATACCCAAGCCCACTCGATAGTCAACACTATTACGGTATGCATAAGCCCCATTCAGTTTTTCCCCACTAGGCCCCTTGCATAGCACGCATCCAAGCACCTGATTCTGTTGAATGACATGAGCTCCCTTCAGAGAAACACCAAACTCTATCCCAAGTTCAGCGGCAAAGTGTTCAAGGGGCGAGAGCGTCCCGCTGGTCAGGAGCAACGAATTAAGACCCGCCACAATTGTTTTTACTGCGCACGATGTATCCAGGCACCAGTACCCAAGTGATCGCTGATTGGAGCCCCGGTTGGCACCTTTGGCCCCCCGCAAAATAAAGCGATAGGCCTCATGGTCATCGGACTCACATCTTTCATACACAAAGTTCAGGAATTGCTGAACTTTTGAAAGACCCAATGCCGCACTCTCACTTTGAGACAACACGGCAATTGCCTTTGTAATGACGTCATTTATACCGCCGCCGTGTTGATTATTACCGCCAAAAAACAAATCCCTCGTGATTAGTGCCCTCGACAAAAAGGGAATCATGTAGGAACCTTCTCGCACAATTTCAACAACGGGCAAAGATCCAGTCACCTCATGGCTCGATATCTTTTTCTTCTCTTCATCACCTTGATTTTCTTCAGCAATGCAAGACTCCAATCGGCATAAGATAATTTTCAGAGAGGCAAATTCTTGTTCGTCCATCAAACCATCTTGAGAATTGTCGTCCGTAGCGGCAGTATCCATCAAGATTCTCTTCATTTCAATGGCTCTGGAACAGTCATGAATGGCATTCGTAAGTTCAAGAGGCTGAAGATTCATACAGGAAGATGCCCCCAAAACAGAGGGCAGATTGTGTGCCTCGTCCACTATTAAAATGGATCCTTTTAGATTAAACGGAAGTTGTTTGCGAATAGACAAGTCAAACACGTAGTTATACGGGAGAAAAACGATGTCCGCCTCCTTTGCCTCTTCTCTTTCCGAATAATATGGACAGTATCCACACTTTCGACCGTCTGAAACCAAATCCTCCATGTCATGCACCCACTTTCCATCCTTCACAGCTGTGTTGTGGCCATTTCGGGCCTGAAATCCCCGGTAGAAGCGGCAGTTTTTTTCTTCCCGAAGTGTGTTACACATACTTTGCTGGGCCTGAGCTGTCGAAAGACGAAGAACCTGGGAGTTGACGCACATGTGCTCTCTGGAACCCAACAGAGACATTGAAAAAATATCACCGTAACGTGTTCGTTTGAGTTCCCGAATCACATGGCTCAATTGAGCATGTGTACGGCTGCAGTATATTACCCGGGTCCTCCCAGCCCCTTCAATTTGATACCTCTGTTGCGTCATCCCATGTCTCTTCTCTAACCAGGCGAGGGCAGAACAGAGGAGGCAGAGTGTCTTACCAGTCCCTGTAGGAGACTCCAGTAAGGCATTGCAACGGCCCTTCAACGCGTCAATAACAGCACGCATGTATTCAACTTGTGCCGGATACGGGTTAAAGGGAAATGACACCCCGACATCACCGATGGGGATGGAAGACATTCTCTCAGATCCCCTGGCAATTTGCTCTATTGGTATCCAGCATGTCACGCGGGAAGAAATATTTATATGTGTGTAATCCCCTCTAAATAATGCGGCTACCTGCAAAAACAGCGTTCAATACTAAATAAACAAAACAGAGGAAAAACGGAAAACAAAAGTCAAAGACAGAGTTTGTTTATTCGTTTGCACAGTCTCAGGCAGAGCACGACAAGTATGTGACAATCAACAGGCCAATGGACAAAAACACACACAAAGAAAAAAAATTTATATATGGACAACACAACCAACCCTTGCGGCCATTGGTTCGGCTGCACTGCACACTTTCTGGGACCGCAATGTTTTCCACCAGAATAACAAAAAAAAACAACAACAACAGAAGTCCCCTCAAGCACTGGGCTAACACTTGCAGCTACTGTTTGTCCTCAACCAAGATGATGTGATAACCAAACGAGGTCCTTACTGGCTCCGGTGTCATCCCGCCCTTTGGCAACGCAAAGGCCGCTTCCTGAAAGGGACCAACCATCTCGCCACGTCGCTTCCACCCCAAGTCCCCGCCGCTGCGTGCCTTGTCCTCGCTATACTCCCGTGCAATGTCAGCAAAACTCGATCCCTCGTTAATCTTTTTCAACGCCTCCATGGCCCGTCCTTGCTTCTCACAGAGTATATGGCGCACCTTCACCTTTGTGTATCCTGACCCACCGGACGTGTCCTTTGCCGCCTTGCCGCTGCCACCGCCATCGTTCCCACCGTCTTTGTTGGTGGCCTTCTTCTTCTCCTTGCCCATCCTTCCTTTTTTTCTTTTGCTCAAGAAAAAAAAAAAAAAAAAATGACAACAATAATAATAATAGATAGAGCGCTGGAATGTAAGGGGCAAAATAAAATGCCATGTGACCTCCGACACAAAAGAACACCAAAAGCAGGAGTCGCGGAGGCAGCAGACGACTAAAGAAAACAATTCATCATCATTCCCATCTTTCATCTTCCCTCACTGACCCTCGCTCCCCTCATACACACACACAAAAAAAAAAAAAAAAAACTCAGTGTGTCTCTCTATCCCTTCTATTTTACTCTAATTTTCAACTTGTAGACACAACACTCATCGGCGCGTCCTTCGTTGGCGGCCTAAAATGGAATTGATGCCAAATGTCGTATCCGTCTCCCGTGCACGTTTATTCTCCACCTTTACCGCCGACAACCCCACATCAGAGACATCCCTTGGTTGCACGCACCGAATGGTCTGGCAAACAACGTTCGCAATGTCACTGTCAAGCAGTCTCTCAAGGGCACGTTCCCGTGCCTCCAAAGTATCCTGCCACTTCGCCATGTTGGCATCATTGGCTACTCCATCACTCTCTGTTGAATTTAAAAAACGGTTGCACACTTCATCACGCCACTTCTGTAAACGACCCTTCGCGCTACTGCACACAGTGTCGAGGGCGCGGTTGGCAACAAATAGGAGCCAAGTAGGAACTTCTTTCGCGTAAAAGTACATACGCTTCTCTAGGGTGTCCAGACATGCATCCAACACCTCTTCGGAATCGGTTTGTGCAATTTCAATAAGGAGTTCACTTGCAATGTATTCGTGAAGAGAAAACCGGCTTAACTCACGCAACAGATGCCCACTTCGCGTGGAATTACGTGTTGCTGTGGTGCGAGTCGAACTGTTTTTGGTTAAAGTGGAATCTTCCGTAGATTGATTCCCTCCCTCGGCCAAACGTGCAACCTGTTTCGCCGTCACTGGATCAATCTCACGGATGTGCACTAGTACATACGCGTCAGAGAGTCGTGTAATAAGTTCCATTAGGCGTAGAGCGACGCTGGGGTTGTACCGTAAGAGTGCCGTAAAGGCCATCATTCCTCCTTGAGCAAAGGCCAATTGTCTGTTTGGATGACTGGAGGCAAAGCTGTAAAGAAATTTGTTCAGGTAATCCACCATATAAGCTGCACAGGCATTCCCCTTTTCCTCCTGACGATATGCCACGTAGTGCATCAAAATATCAGCAATAATCTCCGGCACCTGAGTATGGGGAACACGATTGCAGCTAAGCAACTTACAGAATCCAACAACTGCCATTGGGTTTCTTTCTGTACAATGCGATCGCAGAAATAAACGCAATGTGTTTAGAAGGTTGTTGCCACCAACTCTATGTTCATCCTCCTGTGCTAGGGCTCGTTCATGTTGTAGGCGTGCCTCCACACCACTTGCAGTAAGACCACCACCGGAAGCAGCAGCAGCAGCAGTAGTAGTAGTAGTAGTAGTAGTGGTAGTATTCGTCGTCGTAGCATCATCATTATTGTTAGAAAAGGTAATAGCAGTGGCAGCCATTGCTGTTGTATGTTTGGTGACCGTAGCAGCTCCCAGTTCGGCAGCGCCAGTATGATCATTATGACTGCTGTAACCGGCGTCACGTGCGGGGCAGTCGAAAAAACGCAGGCCATATTCCATCACCAAATCAAAGGCAACCCCTAACGCAGCAAGCGCGACGCACCGGTCCGAATTCCCCACAATTTCATTTGCATCACTCAGAATGAGTGGCATAAATGTATGCACCGTGTCAGGGTTGACAAGACACTGCAGTCCCAGGGAAGTGGTAGAGGCGACCTTCACAATCTCGTTGTCCTGCTGTCGGCCCAACTGGATAATATGGGAACAGAAGGTAGGGATGTTATCCCCCCGTTGAGAGTGAGAGAGAAAAGACAAGATAATAAACTGCATGCGCAACAAAAACTTCTCGTCTCGGTCCATCTCTTCCTTTAGCCGATCGTATTCTTCCTGCGATGTCTCTCCGCCGCGGAGCTTCATACGAAGTCGGAATAACTCTCGCTGTCGCTCTCGGCTTTTTCGTCCAAATGCCTCCACATCATCGTAGCCAAGAGCGTACATCTGTGGCAGCTTCAAGCTACGAAATAATGAGTCCAGTGATGATGTGATTGTCTTCGTCGCCTCCTCCGGTGTTCTTCCTGTCAAGGACTTCAGTGAACGGATGGCCACATCAATAAACAGGGCGGGATCATCATCCGGTACCACCTTTAGAAGAAAACCGATAATGCGCAGAAGACTGCTGCGGGTTGTGTTGTCAGCATGTGCCAAATAACCGTTCTCCTCATAGATATCAAAGACGGAGAGAAGGATGCGCAATATGATGTCGGCTTCGTCCAGGTTTTTAAATTTCACGGTTTTGGGACCCACGTCGGGCCGGGCATAGGCGTACACCGTGTCCTGCAATAACGCGCTGAACTGCGGCAGCGGCAGCAAAACAGCCGTCTCATCATCTCCTTCCGCATCGGCCAAAAGCTTCGCACTGGCCTTCCACAATAGGAGAGATGCGGCACTTACGGATTCGGTGTTCACCAAATACGTCTTCGTATTCTTTTGTTTGCGGCAGTACAAAAGTATCTCTGTGGAGATTGCCTCGTACGGCTCAAGTCCACCACCTCCATCCAGTACGAGCTCCAGCATCGCCTCGCCGTCGTCCCTGTAGTCGCGATGTAACCAGCAGTTCGTCAATGCTGCCCTGCAGGCTATGACAACAGAACTACTTGTATCGGAGAGACCTTGAAGAATCAACTGTGGTAAGGCAATGTTCTTCGCCGTGGCATACGCCGCAATGTACTTCCAGTGAAATCGGCCAAGTGCATCCCACGCCTCTACGCGTACACGCGAAACAACGTCACGCACACAGCGAATCATGCCTTGAAAATACCCCTCGAGAAACTCTTTTCGTGCGCATATACACCGAAGTATCTGTCGCCGCACATCAGCAGAACTGTCCGTGCACAACAATGCCATAAGTTGCTGCGTCACGTCACAATCCTTTTTGCCTGACTGAAAGCACGAGACGGCGGAAGCGGCCCGCTCTCGTACTGCGGGAAATTTGTCGTGCGCCCGTAATTTCAACATCTCCGCGACGTTCTGGTAAAAGTTCTGTCGTTCCTCTGTTGTATCCGTTTGGTCCACCGTCCTCAAAAGAGCATCAAACACCGAAACAACACCAAGACGCACATTCTTGTCATTGGCGTTGTGAAATGGCTCTACGGTCTTCATTAAAGCAATGGCAATCCCGTCCGAATTAAAACGCTCACGAAAGCCCTTGCAAACCTCCGTAAGAAAGCCGTAGTGACGCTTGAGGGAGTCTGGTGCGAGCCGCGGTGACTCCTTCAACACAAGTAGCGCCACGCGGGACACAGCATCTGTGATGCCTGTGCGATCCTTGTCAGCATACTTTAGCAGACTCGTCTTACACTTGTGGAAATGTGCAGCACTTTGATGAATCTGTTGAAATATGCGGCCCACGTCCTCAACACCGCAACACGCACCTGCCACCTTCTTGGGGGGCATGTTTTTTTCGACCTGCAACTAACCTCTGTCACTGTGTCTCTCCCCTTTATTTCTACGTGCGTATACGCCACGGAGAGAGAGACGGACAGACAGACAAAGAGGGAGAAAAAGAGAGAAAACTGTTGTACACTTATCAAATAATAATAATAATAATAATTAAACATTAAAAGCAGCCAATAAAACAAAAACACGAGGCGTAAAGCAAAAACCACCTGCTTCTTTTCGTTCCTGTATACATCTCTGCGCAGCCAAAAAAAAAAAAAAAACAAGGGAGTAAATTCCATGCAAATACATACATTGATTTACACACGCTACACGGAGGCATCAAACTCCTCCTCCCACTTGGTGGAGTAAAACAGTTGACGTCGAAAGTAGAATCCCTCCGTGCTGCCATCTTTGCCCATTTCTTTTAAATAATTGTGCGTAAAGTCACGAACGGCCTTCACCTCCGCCGCAAAATGTGTGCAGAGCACCATATTCTTTGACATGGCCACCAGGTCAGGATGTGGCTCCCGCTTCGCATGCTTCGCCATGCTCACGTCTCTGTTGATACTTCGAAGAAATTTGTAAAGGACCTCGATGCGGGAATATTCACCGTCAAGAGGCTCCAAGCTCCGCATCTTCACGGAGAGAAGTTTGTAGACCGCGGATAGTGCCCCAGTCAAGGCACGGAACAGCGAACCAAACAACCAGATGGGACTTTTATAAACAACAGCGAAAAGCCGAAAAAGATCGTCTGGAACGCCGAGCTCATCTAAATGATCCACACCACTTTGCTCGAGAGCAATATTCCAAATAACTGTGAGAAGTTGCATCACAAGCCGTATCTTCTCTTCCTCTACCAGCCAGGAGGTCTCCATGGTGTAGGTGCGGAAAAGGGAGCTAGCCGCAGCAGCAGCATTGCCCTGTAGCGAAGCAAAAATACCCTCCGTCAGCGCCGTCAACTGTGCAAGCGAGGTGACGGCGTAAAGCAATATATCAGTCAAAGTTTCGGCATCATGTTCAATAACAAAAACAAGGGCTGCAATTACATCTTCCTTAGTCACTACAAGTGTTGAGGAACCAATAGGAGCGTCTAGTAACTCAAATCCAGGTGGTACGTCGGCCTCCATTAACCAACGAACACCTGCCGTGTTAAAGCTGATCTGATATAGGACCATTACTGCCATCGTTCTCGCACCTTCACGCTCCTCAGCGTTGGAGCGATCGTGCATCGAACGAATCGCAGCTTCTAATCCGCCTTCTTCCATGACATTGCGGCATCCTTGCGGAAGTACACAAAGTGATCGCATCAAGCTGAATGCTTGACACTCAAATTCTGCGGATGATGCATTGTTCAGAGCCGCAACAACAGCGGGCACAATTCCCTTACGCAGCAGGGTTATTTTCACTTCTTGAGAGGCAGAGTGAGCAATAAGAAGACGTAGTGCCCTCACACGCTGTGCGTTGCCCACGGTGGGGTCGCTGAGGCTGTCAATCCAGTTGTCCGTGCTAAGGGGCTGCATCCCACTGTACACCAGCCCTCGGTCACGCTCTGGGCGACCGCCAAAAGCCTTCTTGGCATCGTACGGGTGCCGTTCCTGCAGGCAGTCACTAACGTAGTGACGCACGGTGCGTGCTGCCTCTGCCATTATCGCTCCACCCCTTTTGTTGCCACTGCCACCACCAGCACACTGACCAAAATAGCACAAAAAAAAAGGAAAAAGAAAAAAAAAGACGTAAGGCCACACGTCAAAAACAAAAGGCACACACATATATATATGTATATGTATATATATACAAATAAGCACTACCTAGCAAACAAAATCAATACTAGACCCGCCTAAAATAACAACAACGACAGAGAGAAAGAATGAATAATAGAAAAAAAAAAAAAAAAAAAAAAAAGAGGAAAAATTACAAGAAGTTACTCCCACACAAAAGTTTTCGTCTTTCTAATTAACACCATGCTGCAACGCCGAAAAGATTTTATTGGATTGTACTCCTCCAAACAAAAACGACAACAACAAAAGCAAAAAAAATAAAATAAAATAAAATAAAATAACGTAAGTTGAACTCCCTGCTGAACTTTTGAATGGCGTAAACATGATCAAAAAGCCAAGGTGATGTTGCAGCCTAGTTCAAAAGATGACCAACCACCCCTAAACCCACCCAAAAAAAAAAAAGACAGAAAAAAAAAAAAAAAGATGTACGCACTCGATCGGGTGCCCTTTGCCCCCTTTTTCCTAAAACAAAAGAGGGCACACTGCATGGTGACAGGTCGGTCTGGTGCACCCAAAAGCCCCCGCATAATATTTCCCAGGGGAGATCTATCCAACGCCCATACACAACTAAATAAAGACACTCATAAATCAAGCTATTGAAACCGGGCTCAAAGTAGCGGTCTTTGGTGCGCGCAATCGCAACACCCCCCTCGCGTAAAGAGAAGTAGCGGCGGGGTGAATGAGACAAGAGAAATAAAAAGAAACAGACTCATTCGCCGCCTCTCAGTGCGCCCTCCTAAGAACCCACACAATAAATAATTAATGATCCTAATAACAAACAAATAAAAAGGAGGGGATGTACGCTACATTATCTGAACTATTTCTTCCCATCTGGTTGCACATCCATTCCACAGTTTTCTAAGAAAAGATGGAAAAAAATATTTTCTCCCTCTCAAAAATAAAAATAAAAACAAAATAAAAACACTAGTTGTATCGCCTAGTTCTTGTCATTTATTTTTTTCTTTTTTTTTTTTTTTTTCCTTTCGATTTATTATTATTATTATTTTTTTCCGGAAATATTTTATTTTATTATTTTTTTATTATTTTTTTTATTTTTTTTTTTTTTTTGCCTATTCAACGAGGTCACATGGAACGAAGAAGCCCATACGTAACGTTTCACCCTCTGTAAAGCTTCCAAATTCCACCCTGAGGGACGTCAACGCCGTAATCGTGTAGGTGACCAGGTCCTCTGGGCACAACATGGGTTTCTCATCAAGTGAAAGGAGTTCTGTGACGGCAGGGGTGAGCAAGTTATCAAACAGCCAGCAGCGGCCCGCCCGTAACTCGTTCCGTGCTGCCTCCGTGAGCTCTACTGAAAGGAATGTCCCACCACGCCCATTCAACGCAGACAGAATGGTCAGCTTCATGCGTTGGCAGTGGACCAACACAACACGCTCAATGTCCAATGCCTCCTGCAGTGCATCACGAAGAGGAAGGACCGAACCGTCATTGAAAGAAAAGGTCAGCGGTGACGATGGCGAGTCAGACTGCGTTAGACAAAATAGGAACAGTCGCTTTGTCCCCAAGGAAGCAATTTCCTGGAGAATGCCGGACATTTTACTTGCATTAGAATCTGTCACAGCAAACACCTCAAACCCGTAGCGATTCACAAGGACCTCGCGCAGCAGCACGAGTTCACTCAGTTCAGTTCCACCCATGCTACCAGCACCCTCGCAGAAGATAACTGCCTTGCTTCGTCCAGTCCACTGCTTGACAACCTCACTAAGAACCGTAGTTTGCGCCGGCGTCCCCTCTGTTAGGGACCTCACCAGCTCATTATTATTGCTCATCTCCCCAAATTCCTCCGCTTCGGCAGATGTACATATAAAAAACTCACGAA